TTATGAGTTTTGTAACAAAAAAAAGAATACAATGATAATTTTCTATAATAGTTCAATTCATAAATCGATTAAAGTTAGACCATCATGGAAAACGTGGAAGCATTCGAAGGCTATTTCGTCCTAGTATGCGGCTCATCAGCAATGCGAATCCATGATTTCGTCCACGGGAATTCGAACCTAAGACCTTCGGTCTTGTATGTGAGCATTTAATTCCTAGACCATTGAGCCGAGTCCCAATAGTGTTATTGTTTAACTTCAATCGATCTATGAAAATGTGCCACCGTTTCTTACACTATTTGGCACTGCGATAGGATACTAGTCTATCAATTTATAGAGTATTTGCTTTATAACGTTTAATTTATGTACAGTATCTGGCTTTCTTTTCATTCATGAACGTTGAATATTTTATTTCAATTTCTAACTTTCATATAATTTGTGTTTTTTCCCCCATTAGACTAGTAAGAAGGAACTACAATGTCATGTTCACAATAGACATATGAATATGACTTTAGATGATTGAAATGTAGTCTTCAGTACATAATTACACTCTTATGTAGAGCATTGACCCAATAAATGAATGAGAACTGCATAAAAATGCTAGATATTAAAATTTTGTTGAACATCGGGAACGGAAAGTTATCCTCGCTTTTCACAGACAACTTTATTAGCGGATGTATTTTGTTTACTATACACTAGTATAAGTGTATAGTTAATCTAAAGTCTATGGTGTATCACAGCTCAAATAGATGTACATATGTACCATATTCTACCTTGCGTATGACTGACTGATGTTATATCCAGATAAGAATAAATGAATGGTAACCGTTAGGAATTACTCGTGGACTAATATTATACGGTTATTCATGTTATATGACTGTTAAGTAACTACATTATATGTATGTTCACATGCCTTTCATTATAAGCTTTTATTTGACCTACGACTTAATATTGTGAAGTTATTCTCAATCTATTAGTTACAGTTTCTCACACTCACAACCACTTTTGGCTTGATCTTGTATAACTGTTATTTTCTATTTTATAGTGTGATGTGGTCTGATTTGTTTTTATATGAACTCAGTATGTTTGAAATAAAGGATTCATATTGTGGAGGCCGAGATTGGCGTTCTGGACTTAACAGGCAGGGTTAGGAATGAAAAGGAATAATTGGAACTCTTGGCTGCTTGCACAGGTGTATGCGTCATTTGTTTGGTTGTATAAGTCAGTGTATCTAAATTGGCAAACGTATTTTGTTATAATCGCATAAGTTAAGGTCATAACAACTGATCAACCTAAACTTCCATATGTTAACGTGTAATTTTCTTGATCTTAATATATATTATATAATTAGCAGTGGGGCATAGTATGAGCGTTCTTTCCTATTCGAGGCCCATAAAAAGGACGTGTTTACATCCCTGTATAACTGGAAACCAGTACCATTTGTTTCATACTCCCTATGAGATATCCACTGAGTTATTGAGTCTAAGCATGAACTAATTTACTCAACGATTACAAATATCAATTCCAGTTCTGAATATCAACAATAGGAAATTACAAACCATTATAATCATGCGATAATGAAGTACTTTGTTATTTGTCATTAATATAACTTTAGTAAGACAACTAAAAACTTACTTGTTCTGCGAAATAGTTAAAAACAAGATATGAATGATACAAATAGTACTGATATTACCTATAAATGTAGAGCAAACGTTTTACATAAGGGTCCAAAAGGGTGAAGATTTCTTGCCATCACAATGGCGTTATTCACTTAGCTACTGAGTTCAGATAGTCATTAGCTAATGATATGGGGTGAAGTTTTAATTCATTTTTTTGTTTTAGTTGCCAATTAGAGACTTGATTAATTTCAGTCCTAAACATCAATGGGATAATTCAAATAACCAATACAATAAATGAATGATATTAATAAGATGTTGTTATTGTCATCAATACAATCAATTGGTCTCATAAAGAAATATGTATTTGATTGCTTTATAATTAAATTGTTTCAATTGGATTTGTTATGGTTTGGATTATACCGTTATTAACAGTTTGATTGTGTTTTGATCGATCTTATCTGCGAAATTTCCATCCTGTACAGATTGCCTCGATATAGTTATTATGATGCAAGTCTATATTGAACAGATAGAATGTGTTTAGTAGTAGAATCTGGGATGAGCATTTCGTCCTTTTTGGAATCAGTCATCTGGATGTATCTGTGTTCCTGAGTTGATATTCAAGCATCAACGTTAAAAAAATTAGAATACACATCTGTTACATAAGTGAGTAGTTATCTGAATGGATTGTCTGAGTGGATAATGCGTTGTAGATTGAAGAGAAAGTTATTGGATTCGGACCTCAAAGTGAATATTAACTCAAAGATAGAGATACATTTGACCTATGAGTCTCAAACAAGATAAACGCTCATTCTGAACTCATTTTTCAACTATGTTTCATCTCTTTAAAGTAAATAAGTAGTAAATTTTCTAATTAAAAGAGTTTTGTGGGGATTAGTTGCTTTCAATAGCTTAAATGTTCTAGATTCAATTCTTAGTAAAGATCTAGTTACACACTACTAAAAATTCACATATTATGACTAAATAAGTGTTTGGCACTTTAACTAAGATCAATAGTAGAACAAATACAACTTACGTTCGAAAGTATGTTCATTAAAACAAACATTGTCATAAGTTTATTATGTTTTTTTTTGTTAACAAAATATTTCTTCTCCTTTTTTTTCCTTTTTATTGTTGCTAAGCGAAATTCCGTAAACAGATATCTAAAAAAAAAACACATTTTGAATGTTTTTAAAAAAAAACTTTAATAACCAAATAAAACACTTCAGGGATTCACTCGATGTTGTTGTTTACTTGAATCTTATCATTCATGTTTGGCACTGTCATTGACCAGTATCTTATTGATATATGTGCATATTGTGTGTATTGACTCGATATTGCTTTAATTCACAAGGATTATAGGTAAAGATGGATAGTGGCTGGGAGTGAAATGGAACACGTCAGCTGGATGTATTTACATCTCAGAATTTATGTTCACCCTGGGATTCGAACGCAGTACCGTTCGCTTAAGCCACTATCACGTTATCTACTTAGCTACTGAGTCCTGACAGCTATTTGCTTGTGTGATGAATGAAGTTGAAATTCACTTGGTATTGTTTACTTGAATCTTCCCATTGATATTCAGGACTGCAATTGTCTATCAGAACTTAGTCGCTAAGTGGATAACGCGATGGTGTTTAAAGTGAATGGTATTGGGTTCAAGTTTGGGAGTGAATATCTACTCTGAGATACAGGTACATCCAGCTGATGAGTTTCAAATAGTAAGAAACTCACATCTTCCATTCCACTGCTAACCACTATCCATCTTTGCTTATAGTATTTCAATGATTGTTATCTACCTATGCGTTTATGATTGTTCTTTTTTTGCTTTGTTTTGTTTACTAAAACAACTCCCACATAGTTTACAGTTCATCATTTTCATTAACACTATACACATATATGTACATTATTAATTTTCAAGAATTTAAGCATAACAACTACATGATCGATTGGTTCATTATTATTGATGAAATGATTAGCTTAGTTGAAACAATCATATAAAGGTACATAAAAAGGTACAAGTTTGAACTTGTCACATTTCTATAAAAATTGTCAGTTGAATTATTCAATAAAGAATAAAAAAAAGAAAACTTTCTAGACATTCTATTTTATGGTTCATTAAACAAATTCTTGTACAATGTTTTAATCAACTCATCAATGAAAATAAAAGTTGTAATAAGGTTTGAGTTTTCTTTTTCACGGGTTAGTTTCTACGGGATGAGGTCGCTAACCCCATGCTCGACCCTTCTACTTTATCTGAGCTTGGAACCGGCAGTAGCCCTAGAGGGGCTCCAAGCATAGTTTGTAATAAGGTAATAAATGTAATTGAATTCTAAATAGATAAGATATTCTAAGTAAAGATGGATAACAGGCCAGCAATGGAATCTAGGATTCACGTTTTATCCTAATTAGAACTCGTCAGTTTAATGTATCTGCATTTCGGAGTTGATGTTTCCCTTTGGACTCGAACCTAGTACATTAATAAAAGAAATTGTTTAGTAAATTTATTAGAATTATAAAAGTGAACAAATTAATTATCTGCTTACTGAATCAATCTTTAAGTTCCACTGTAATGACTTTCAACAAAGTAAGATCAATGATTAATTGATTCAAAAGAATCCGATGTTCATTTATGGGTGTTGGTTATTTACGAAATAGTACGAGTCAATTATAACGTTCTTCATACTTAGAAGAACAAGATATTGCTTACTTAATTACGCCTGTTACTCCTCGTGAAGGAGCATAGGCCGCTCACCAGCATTCTCCATCCAACCCTGCCATGGGAAATCCTTTCTAGCTCCTTCCAGTTGTTATTCCTCCTTTTCATATCTGTTTCTCTTTCCCGACATAATGTGTTCTTAGGACTTCCACTTTTCCGCTTCCCTTCAGCATTCCAAGTTAGGGCTTGCCTCGTGATGCAGTTTAATGATTTGCGTAATGTATGTCCTATCCATTTCCATCGTCTTTCCTATTTTCTTCTTCAGCTGGAAGCTGGTTTGTTCTCTCCCACAGAAGGCTATTGCTGATGGTATGCGGCCAATGGATGTTGAGTATCTTGCGTAGACAGCTATTTATAAATACTTGTACTTTCTTGATTGTGGTTGTTGTAGTTCTCCAAGTTTCAGCTCCATACAGTAGAACTGCCTTGACGTTCGTATTGAAGATTCTCACTTTGATGTTGGTTGACAGACAGTTGTTTTGAGTTCCATATATTAGAAGAACAAGACATAGAAGCAAATAATAGCTTGATTCTATTATATATATTAACCGGTTTGGGGCCTTCGAAACTATTTGCCACTCAATACAATTTAAATTGCAGGCCATTCATTGAATATTTATTATTTTTAATTTTATTTTAAAACAAAATTCTTCCTTTTTTTATCCCAGTAAAACCTACAATTGAATCTATTCCTAATCAAGTGTTAGAATATGGTCAATCATTAACAACTAACTGTATAGCGACTGGTATACCAACACCAACTATTATGTGGATAAGAGATGGGAAATCAATTAATCTAGCTGATAAAGGTTTAACAGTTGAAACATTTGAGTAAGTTGTATATTACATTTTAAGTTCGATTGATAAAACTGTTTCATAATATCCATAATTAGAATAAAGTTAATGGCCAACACTGAAAACATTATTGAAGTGATTAGTAAAACTATTTAAGTTTTGTATAAAGCACATTATGTATCTTACGTTTGTTACCCTTCATGAAGAAGCACTCAAAATAACTAAGGTAAGGTATTTAACTCATCTAAAAAGAAGAAACGAACCTACTTACTTTAGTTTACTTACGACTGTTACCCCTCATGGAAGGAGCATAGGTCGCTTACCAGTATTCACCATTCAACCATGTACTGGGTAATCCTTGCCAGTTCTTTTCAGTTGCTATTCATTCTTTTTATATATGCTTCCAATTCTCGATGCACTGTGTTTTATGACCTTCCACTTTTTCGTTTCCCTTTAAGATTCCAAGTTAGAGTTTACCTTTTGATGAAGTTTGATCATTTCCGTAACGTACGTCCTGTCCACTTCTAGTGTATTTTTCCAATTCCCTATTCAATTGGAAGTTAGTTTGTTCTTTCCCACATTAGGTTGCCCCTGATGGTATTCGATCAATGGACATTGAGCATCTTGTGTGGACAATTGTTTAGAAATACTTGTACACTTTTGATGATGGTTGTAGTAGTTCTACAAGTTTCATCTCCGTACAGTGAAACCACTGCCTTGACGTTGGAATTGAATATTCTAACTTTGATTTTGACTGAGAGTTATTTTAAGTTCCATATTTTCTTCAACTGTATGAATGTTGGCCTTACTTTTCCAATCCTTTCCTTTACATTAGCATCAGATTCTCTTTGTTCATTGATGATTCTCCCCAAGTACATGAAAGTTTATTTGATTTATCAGTATAAGCCGATTAGGTAGCACATGCATAAGTGAAATGTTTCTGAAATGTGTACAATGTCAAAAGTGAGACTGATATCCAGATTCTTCCAGAAAGCTGTCTCTTCATACATGACTAACAGCTTGTTTTGTCGAATTTGATCTTGTTTTTATGATTACTGACCTTTGTCCTATCATTGTCTAAATGTTTATTTTGATTATCTTCCATTAAGACCTTATAATTGTTTATAGTTTCTTTAATTTGTTCACAAATGTTAGATTGATTGAACTCAGTGTTAAAATTAAAAAAAATCTCTAGTCTACTTTATATTTCCTTCTATCTAGTATTACAATAGTTTCCCAGTCAACATTTATCTACATGGTTCTATATAGGTACGTCTTAGTGTGTTGATAACTTGTTGGTGTTCATGAAGACATACATAAATAGGGTGGCCATCTGTGTTACTATATGGCCTTTCATTATTGTATGTAGGAACATAGAAACATTTCGATAATGTCCAGGGTTTCGTGTCGACTACCTCCAACCACCGTCTAATCTCAATATATAGTACACGCAGTGTCCAGTCACCCAGACTGGTGGCCACATTACAACATGGTCGATAGCATTCGATCTGCACTAAATAAGGACTTGACACACATGATATTGATCTCCACCCAGTGACCAATCAATTGTGATTACATCTCAGTCCTGCAGGAGGTCGGTCGAGGCTCGGATAGCTCAGTGGTAACGTCTCAGAACTACATAATTCTGATAATCTTCGTCTTCTTATTACATTACCGAAACTTATCAAAAAGAATAATTGCTTTAAATTTCTTAAAAGAAGACTCCCTGCACATAGAAACATTTATTTAGAGGATGTTCAATATCTAAGACAAACGTGATACAATCTTTTTTAAGCAAAGATGGATAATCGCTAGCAGTGGAGTCCAGGACATGCGTTTCGTCCTTTTTGGGACTCGTCAGCTGAATGTATCTGCGTTCCAGATTTGATGTATGCTAATATAAGAGACTGATCAATTACAGTCCTAATTAACAATAAGAAGATACAAGTAAAACAAAATCAAATGAATTTAAACATGACGCAAATTTAATTCATATGTAAATGACTACTAGATTCAGATTTCTTGGATCATAAAATGAAAGACTAATTAAAAGGCAAATTTGCATAGATTGCCAAATTTATATCGACAAACATTTCATTGATTTTAATAATTGAGATCATGAGTCAATTGAAGTTAAACCACCATGAAAAACCTGAAATCACTGGACGGCCATTTCGTCCTATTTTGAAACTTCTCAGCAGTTCTCATCCACGATTCCGCCTCTCAAGATTTGAACCCAGGACCTATCAATCTTCCCCAGTATTTCCAAGAATTTTAACATACAAATCAATAGAATGAATAACTATGCTCATAAAATTCAACTTTTAATTTAATCACCATTATATACAACTTCATCAATGCTGATCATAATCTAGGCGGATAAACGATTGTTTATACTCTTTCCTTTTCCAAAGTTATCTTTTACTCTACGTTAAGTGAATCATATCGATAGTATGTTTTTTTCTTTGAGAAAGCTACTTATGACTTGTAAGTAAGTAGTATATATATATATATATATATATATATATATATATATATATATATATATATATATATATATATCAATCGTATATTTCATACACGTAATTGGAACATTTGTCTCCACTGTCAACTGATTACTTATTGTATTATCATCTATATCAACAATCAACTATGTATGTTTGAAGTTGAACTATAGAGTAACTTTGTTACCAATTAAAAAACTGTAATCTTTCACCCTTCCCTTTATCTATTTGTATTTAATAAGATAATATTTCTTATAGAATATACTACTGTTACTCAATTCTAACCTCTTCCTTATGTCCTCTATATATCTCTATAGTATACATACATAAGAGATTAGTTTGTTTTAATTGTTGTTTTCTTTTTAATTGTTCAACACTATTCCAATATAAACCAATTAGAGTTGAATAGAGAAGAATTTTTCCCTTCTCAAAATACACACAACATTCTATTTTATGCACTGTATATATGTGTGTATGTGTGCGGGTATGTATGTCTAAGTGTATTAGCTTGAATATCAATCTATTAAGTAGTATATATATATAGCTTTCCTATATGAAACATTTAGTTTACATAAATTGATAAATTGTACCCTAGTAACTAACTTCAATTGTTGTTTAAATCACGTTTTATTTTGATCGCTATTCAAAAACAAAACAAAAAATCACAATAGACGTTCACCAGGATATGTGGAATCTATATTGGAAATAAACAATTTAATTTTAATTGATACCGGTGAATATTGGTGTTATGCTGAAAATGCATTAGGATTAGCCAAAGAGAAGTTTATTTTAAAAGGTAAGATTTAAAAAATATAAAAAAAAAACTTATTTCATGGAACGATTATTGATTCATTATTATGTTCATTTCAACCATTGAGATTATGAGTTAATTGATGCTAGACCAGTATGAAAAACTTGGAAGCATTGGACGGCTGTTTCATTCTACTGTTAAAACTCATTAGCAGTGCACATCCACTATCCTGCATTGCGGACCATAAAAAACTCCTTCTGATATTAATTATATGGTGAGACTATAATTTATCGACGACCATTTAAGTGACACTGGAATAACCTTGACAGTGTCCACCTAATAACTAAAACTAAATGAGGGTTATAAACGTGTGTGTGAAATTAGAATTATAATTTACAGTTGATAGTTAAGGTAAGGAATCAGATTTAGGGTTTTCATCATGAACTGACAACAGCTATAATACCAAAACTCCATTTATCCAAATGGATGAACGAATTTCGCGACAAAATCCGAGACCTGTTATCTTATACCTGATTGGTTATAGTCTCACCAAATTTCTGGTTAGCGTTTTTTAGCGGGTTAGTTTTCTACGTGATAGGCTCGCTAACCCCATTCGTAACCTTCCTCTTTTACCCGGGCTTGAGACCGGCAATAACTCTAGAAGAGTTACAGGCGGAGTTAGTCTCGCCTAATTATGCTATTGTAAATGATTGATAAAGTTCAGTGAATTTTATGGTTTACATCATGGATCAACTTTAGGCAACTATTAAAAACAGGAAGCGCTGAACATCTGTTTTATACTGATATGAGACTCTAGTGATGCATATTCATAACTTAGTGAGATTCTGTGTTCTGTTCTGATGAGATATATCATGCTTGGATGAAACCCTTTTTCAATGTTACTGGGTTTTAGTGATTTAACTTACAAATTATTTACATCGATTTTCGAAAATTCACACTATATTAACATAGAAAGTTAGTCGAGTACATAGAACATTCATTTCAACAAATTCTCAATAGGATTTGCAAAGTTACCACACTAAATAAATGATTAATAAATTAGAATAAATTTCGACTGTGAAAATTCTTTAATGTTTAAAAATCTTCCTTACTGATGACAATCATGTGCTCACTGATGACTAGCTTCAAGATGTAACTCCTGGAGTTCTAGTGAAAAGTCACGATCAATTAAGTCTAATCTATGTGGAGTTTGAGATAATTATTGACCTTAGGCATGTTCATGGATTAACTGGATGCCAGCCCAATGGTCTAGGGGTTAAGAGTTTGGGCACGAGAATGAAGGTTCTGGATTCCGTTCTAGTGTGTGGAATTATGAATATGCGTTACTAGGAAGTCCCATACTAGGACGAAACGATCATTTAGTGCTATCAGCTTGACAATGGTGCTCTAGATTTGATGAACTCGTGATTTCAACTGTGAAAATACTACAACCTCCACAAATCCCCATACTAATAATCTGGAATAACCAAGTAAAAGACATATATATTTGTCAGCATTATGATAAGAAGATAGAATAGATACAAAAACTTGATTTATTTGAGCTGAACATTTATCAAAAGATTTCTAATCTTGAATCTATTTTAAAGCTTCTGGTGATAAAAACAAAACCTTTTATAAGCAAAGGTGGATAGTGGCTGGCAGTGGAATCCAGGCCGCTCGTTTTGTCTGTTATGATTTTGTGAGCTGCTTGTTATCATGTAATCTATTCGCCAATCAAAATACGACTTATACAATCTTACCACTGTGCCAAACCAATGACGTTCGACCGGTATGGGCAGCTTAGCGTCCTTATTGGTCCTATATCTGCCTAGCCGGTCCACTTCAGTCCAGAACACCAATACCAGCTTTCACTATGCGAATCGAATCATTTATTTCAGACATACTGGGTTTATATATCAACCAAACAGACCGCAACGCACCATAAAATAGGAAAATAACATTCATACACAATAAAGCCAAAAAGTGGTTGTGAACGCGGGAGGCAGTAGTCAATAAATAAACTGAACGTAGCTTATGAACAGTAAATCGTACAATAATAAATTATAGGTCAAAATAAGGCTTATAATAAAAGGAATATAAATATGTATAATCTAATTATTGAATAGTTATACCATAAGAATGTATAGATAGTATTAGACAATTAATATGTCTCAGAAGTTACTCGTGATTTAATCTACGCTTGGACATAAGATCATCCTATTTGGAACTGGTCAGCTGTATGTACCTGCATCTCAGAGTTGATATTCATTCTGGGACTCGAACTCAGTACTGTTCGCTTCAAACGCTTGTAATTTAAGGCAATATCAAGACAATGTGCACATATGCTAATAAGAAACTGATCAATTGCAGTCCTGAATATTAATGTGAAGATGAAAGTAAAAACAATATCAAGTGAATTTGAAACTTCTTATATTTTCAAATTAGATCATTTTACCTCTCTTTTCTTTCCAAAAATAAAACACCATTTCTACTTAACATACCAACCCATTCATATATGTGAACTTGTAAAGGTCAATTCAATATTTTATTCATATATAAATGCTTAGATAAGTAATATGTATGACTGGATTTCTTAAAATGCCTTGGACACATACACCATAATCCTAAAATTAATCTTTTCATCTCACTATACTACCCATGAAAGGTAATAATTATTATCCTTAGAAATAGCAAATATGAATTTACGATTATAAATCAAATGTATTGGTCAGTTTTCGTCACAATGACTAGTATATTATGTCTGCTTGTAAGTTAATTAAAGTTGTGAAACTACTAATCATCACTGAAACCATTTGTGTATGTGAAGCATTCTCTTCTTCATAGCCGTAGTATAACAGCAGCTCCTATGAATCTAGTCTTTGTCATCCGACCCGCATTTATTGTATTTCACTGATTCCAAGCACATCCAGGTTATATCTTTTCATTTCTGCAGCAATTTGGGTGACTCTCTCGGTCTCGCACATTGTACGAATATTCTATGTACCTAAATTAATGGTTACTCTGGTTATCAGAATGAGCATCAGCCTTGTGACTTCCGAAGGAACTCGACTTTCACTATGGGGCTTCATAACTATTCTAAATGAAAACCTTCTAACTCCTGGGGCAGAGTTCAAATGGTTTGAATTATTTTTTCTGGTTAACGCTGTTTTTTAATGAGTTAGTTTTCTACGGGATATGGTCACAAACCTCATGCCCAACCCTCCTCCTTTACCCGAGCTTGGGACCGGCAGTAGCTGCAGAGGGGCTACAGGTGGATTTGAAACTACTAATTAGATTGAATATAAGGGGTATAGATTGGGAGTAGTAGTGTCGTTATGATTATCTTATCTAAATCTGTAATCACATATTATATGTTCTGTCAAAGAATATTTCAAGTGGACTGAAGCAAGAGATGTGAACTTGCTCAATCTTAACCTAGTGTCTTGATAATGTAGCCGTGAAGATTTAACACATGATCTGAAAGTACTGAAATCATTCCCTAGCTGGTTCATGGATAGCTAGGGAAACTAAAATATAACACTAAATAATGAAACAGAGATCGACTCATCAGAATAACATCCATCTTTCAAGAAAAAAAATGGAATAAACATAAAACAACAGATAAGTGGATAACACGATGGCATTTGAAGCGAACAGCGCTGAGTTCGAGTCTTAAAATGAACAACAACTCTGAGATTTAGGTAAATCCATTTGACAAGTCCCAAATAGGATGAAACTCGCCTCCTAAATTCCACTACTAACCATTATCCATCTTTGTATAAAACATTTTCAAGGTTAATTTATGTTTAGTTGAATGAAACTACAAAGAAAAATCAATGAAACATCATTCTCAAAACCAACTCTACTCCCCTTTTTTTAATTCTTTATTTAAACTTAGTAACAAAAACAAGTAATAATGTATAGTACAAATATAAATCTTTTTAACATTTATCAGTACCCCTTTCATTACCCCTTCTGACATGAGGATTTCTCATCACTATTAATACAACTTAATGTAAATCGTATGTCTTTCTATGTTATAACAAAATCTTTATAATTTATACACAATATTATAGATTAGTATTGGTATTGTTTCTTTTAACTTAATCCTACAAAAGTAGATGGGATTAAAACAAAAAAAGATTTATGTATCATGGACTTAGTCTTAGTGACTAGATGGTACATCGTTTATTCATATATATATATATGTAATATCCATTTGTACATTTGAATCGGCCAGCGTTCTAAAGGACCGCATATACATTTATCTTTTGGTAAACATTCTTAACTGATAAAGAATTAGTTTTGTGTGAATAAATTCATTATAAAAAAGGAGCGAATGGAAGAAAGAAAGAAAGAAAGAAAGAACAAAGCAAAGAACAATATCCCTTATTGATGCGTATTTTTCCATACACACACACAAAAAAAGAAAAAAAGAAAGAAAAGAAAAAAAACCATTTTCCAAGATCAAACCAAAATGAACAGAGATAAATATGAGAATAATTTTTTCTCTTTCTCTCTCTCTGATTAGTTTAAGAAAAAGAAAATTATAAAAGAAAAAAAGCAGAACAAGATATAGAAATAGAGAAATGATTAAAAAAAAAAAGAAAAAAAGTGTTTAAAATGTAAAGTTATTCGATAATAGAAAATCGAAAAAAAAAGAAAAAAAGAATGAATGAATGAATGAATCTATGTTGTACGATAGAATGATGATATTTAAAGGTAACTCATTTATATTTCTGAAAAGCTTAACTATTCTAAATTTAATCCTTGATAAATCTATTGGTGAATACTAATGAGATGTTTGCATAGATTAGAAAGAGACATTTATTCAAAGTACTATGGTTTATAATAGTTCTGTTGTTGTATGAACACATAAACATTGATACAAGGAGGTACCAAATAGATATGTGCAACATAAATCATTTGATTTGTGTGAAGGATGGGATACTGCCCGCACATGCAAATCGAAGCAGGTGGTTTTCTTAGGGTGCCACACCCGGAGCCTTCGACCATAAAGGTTCGATCCACAAGGCAGTAGAGCA